GTTATTGTTTTCATTTCAATGTCCCGCCCTCCACCGTTATACCAATCAGAAAGTCTGTGTTGCCAGAACTTACCACGTCAAGCTAATCTCACGGGTAAAGTAACATGTGGCTGCAGAACTAAAAAGGGTTATGGTTCTCAAATCTTTAATGACAAAACAAGGAATAAAACAAAGCTTTTTATTGAAGCCTTTGTGAAAGAGGTGTTGGTTATAGATGTGTTGACAAAACTCTTGTCTTTTATGGTCCCAGCTGGATTTGTCTGCATATCTGGCAACCTTTGTCAGGGAGAGTGTAATACCACTTCTGGCCAGATTTTTACATATTGCTCCTTTAACATAGCAATTAAAATGCATTTCTAAATTTGGTTAAAAAAAATGGAAATGCATATTAAACATATCAAAGTAAGCATGGTCATTAAGAGACAGACTTTTCCAAATGATTCCATGAATAGAAGTAGCTTTAGCTGGAGGGTGCCATAACTGGTTTTCTTAATACTCAGGTGAACATGACTCAAAATAAGCCTCCGTTTACACTGCTGCCCTTTTTCTGAACTGTGCAGGTTGCCAACTCACAAACACAGGGCTCAAAGCAGTCCACCATACACAGGAACACTTTGTCCTTCTCCAAATCCACTCTCCATTTCGATTTAAGCTTTAAAATGCTTTGGTCACAGCTGCTTGCATTAGTGGAGTATAACTGGAATGTGTTGAATAGTATAACCTAAGACATATTTGATCAAATGTTATGGAGGTATTAAAATGGCATCCTATGCACAATCAAGTTTCTTTAGTTATCAAAAACAGATGAATTTGTTTTTAGATCCATCCATATTAATTTCAGTAACTTCTGGTACAAACAACTCAGCCCCTTCTGTCTAAAACCTCCTCGTCCTGTGATAACACCACAACACTCAGAGGTTTTCTGACTTTTAAAACAAAAGTCAATTAATGACATTCTTTGCAATCAAATCTCATGCATTTTTTTGTACAGTACAATGTCTGGTAATTTTTCACTTTGAAAAACAAAAACAAACTCAACTCCCTCTGGTAAAATAGAAAATTACAGACATTATACTGAGTTGTTGTGTTTCAATATACATTTATCATGTATTGATTTGCAACAACTCAGTAACATATCCTTGTATTTAAGCTCACTGTGATGCTGTAGTCTTTTGCCTCGTGTGCCACGAGGTAAATAGTCTTCAGTGGAAGACTGAGACACCCTCAGTGTAAGAAGGAGCGCTACCGCAGGGCCTTTATCCCAACCGCTGTCAGACTGTACAACAAGTCACTTTAAGTCACTGTATTAAGACTGAAAAACCTGCACTACTATTGACACTATTTCTGATTGCCACTTTTTAAATCAATACTTTTTTTTTCTTTTTTCTTTTTTTTCATTCTTTTTGTAGTATCCTGCATTTAACATGTTTGCACATTTCTTTCTTTTTGCACAATCTTCAGTGTTTCTATCCATGCAAGATGTGACATGTAAATTTCTCCTTTGTGGGATCAATAAAGTATATCTTATCTTATCTTATCTTATAAACACTGCTGGATTTGAGATGATAACGTCTAGACTTGCACTTTGTGTTAATCTGCTATAATTCCCTGTTTACGTTGGTAATACGTCCCTGAGAGTGCTCTTCAGAACTAAAGGCATTTAAAAGAACCAAAATGCAATACCCCCAAACTAAAGCAGAGAATTTCCTTCATGATACTTAATTAGAGGAAATGTGATCAGAGCTGTATGTACTTTGGGCTTTTGCACCAATATGCAAAAGAAACAAGTGAGGATAGTGTAATTGCGCTGTACAATGCCTGCTGTAATTTATGTAAAGGAAAAGACAGCTTGTTCATTATGTAACATATCCCAAGGTGTAAAAACGATGCATTCAAAATGAATAACAATAGATAAGTATTCTATCCTCCATGTAGATTAAATGTGGGTTTATGAACTGTGTCCTCATTTGAGTTCCCTCCAAACTTAGGCCTAAATTGTGAGGCCAAAAGTTTTCTATTGTATTGTCAGTCCTGTTCAAACTTATCAGCAAAAGTGAGACAGAAAAGATGCTGAGGCTATGGGCTGCAAGAGCAAGTGGCCTTTATCACATTAATTTATGCACGAATGCATCTTCTCCATTGGTGCAGTTACTTTCTACATTTTTTTTCTCAGTAGAATTAATATTCAGTTTTACAAATGATAGATTAAATTGTTGTTTATGTTTGTATATACATCATTTTTATGTATACATTTCTGTTTAGCTGGGGCGACAGTTGCTCAGTTGGTAGAGCACTGATCTTTGGATCTACTGCAATGGTCGTGGGTTCAAGCCCACGATCATGGGTCGTGGAGGGTTCAAGCCCTCCACGACCCATGTCACCTGCTCCCACTGATATCTGCTGTTGTTGTGTTCCTGGGCAAGACACTTAACCCCACATTGCCTGAAGCCTCAGCTAAAAGATCAAGGCCAATGTCTTCAATGACAGAGAAGCCATCTTCCTGTGGACCCACCACCTGCAGGAGGATCAGCGAGGGACTGGTGCCATGAGACGGGTAGCAACTCTGATTGCCACCCCCCCGACCCAGAAATGGATTAATAAAGGGGCAGACGATGACATGACATGACATTTATGTTTAGCTCTGCATATGAGTGATCAAATTTTCCACTCTAATATTTTAGTTCTTATAATGTGCTTGTACTTCTGATACAATGATCTATTGTCATATTTATGTCAAGTAAGTGGCCTAAGCTTCCCCAGTCCTTTAATGCAGCTTATATGTACATATGTACAGTATGTGACCTCACACCTCACATTTAAAGGAGTCATATTATACATATGATATAAGGCTTTAATTTTGTTACAACCTTGTTCCCTCATCAAAAGGCTCCTGTCTCAGTACTGTAATAATATGATGCCATTGTACCACTATGACATCACATTTAGAGCAGATTTCTTCCTTTAAAAAAGAGAAATGGCCCATTTATTATGGCAATTTTACAGCTTTTGCAGCTGGTCATTTTCAAATGTTCTATTTCTACACCTCCCCCTGGTGGTAGCACAGGGCATAGGTCAGGTTGATAGGGTCGTTTACACTTGATACTTGTTTAACTATACTTTCCACTTTTTTGCCTTCTAAAATGACCAAGTAATTACAGTCTCATTATCATTTGGACTGGCCAAAAATAATACATACTGATTCTTTTTTTAACGAAGCATTTCATTCTCCTGTACTCTAGAGGTCAGAGACAACATATGCACAGTGTCAATTAGAGGTGCAACGGTTCATCACTGATCCGTGATCCGTTCGGTTCAACGTCTTCGGTTCGGTACAGACGTTATCCGCGGTTTGATTTATGAAAAAAAAGTTGTGCGCACGTTGTTCAGTCCACACACAGCGCGGTCATTGCGAGCGGAGGAACGGAGATGCTTGAAAGCCCCGCGTCATTTAAATCCCCAGTATGAGAGCATTTTGGCTTCACTGTAACTACACTGATAATTAATATTCGACAAAACTGTCACGATGTGTAAGCACTGTGGCACAAGAAAGACATGAGTGAAAAAAGCGTCTCAACGACCGCTTATTGTCGCGGCATTTAAGCAGCTCCTTTACGCACAGTCAGACCGGGCTAAAGTCAACTCTCCCGCGTATCCTCAGCTGCGCTCACGACTGACGCTTGGACGTCCCGCGGAACCTATAATAGATCCATGAGCAGAACCGCTCACTTCATCACCGCAGACTGGGAGATGAAAAGTCTGGCGCTGAAGACACGCCCCCTCTACGACAGTCACACAGTCACACAGCGCAGGTACTGCGGAGGAATGGAAGACAAAGGCCCAGTACTAATATCCCAGTCACAACTGATAATGCCAAAAATTAAATAAATGCAGTGAATGAGGCTGGGCCCAGAATGGACCCCCTCCTTGGGAGAATCAGGAAGGTGGTGTAATATATGAGGGTAAATATCCTCATAAAGTGCCTTCTTATGTTGCACTTTGTGTTGTTTTTCATTAATTATGTTAAATAGACATAATTGGATGGATGGAATATTCCATCCATCCATCCATCCATTTCCTTCCCCTTAATTCATTTCTAGGTCAGGGGGGGCAGTCAGAGCAGGTGCCGAGTCCACATGAGCTGTGTTTATTAAAAAGACAACACTTTTTTTTTGAAAAATGAACCGAAAAATGAACCGAACCGTGGCCTCTGAACCGAGGTACGAACCGAACCGTGATTTTTTCAAACCGTTGCACCCCTAGTGTCAATTTTATAATTAGTATTTTGACAATGTGCAGTTCGTCTCACGGCTATTTCCAAACTCTGGAACTACTCTCTTTGCAACTTTTGATTTACCAACTGACCGGAAAGAACCCGCAGTAATGCAGCAGGGTCACGCTTAGTCCACATAAACAGATTATTGTCAGTCCGGCCTGTGACTTGGCTCAAACCTCCAAACTTGTTATTGCGAGACGCTTCCAGCAGACTAATTAAAAACAATGAATTGTAAAGCTGTTATGGTTAAAATTATGCATAAAAAATGATTTACAAAATGTGTTTTCTTGTATTTGCTACAGTGAACCCCAGGCCCTTTATGACTTTAAATGCTTTGACAGGCATGCAAACAAACAGACAGAAAATCCCAATGAGTTACATAATGTTTCCCTTGTCAAAAGATCTGGTAAACAAATGTGTCAGCGATGTGAGTGATGTGGCGAGGCAACCCAGGCACACACATTTTACACACCAAGCTTTAGGCCCCACTCCTCCATTATTTAGCGCCTCAGACTCTAAAGACACCCCAGTGATATATCAACACAAAATAGCTATGAATATTAAAATGTGCTTTTGTTTTTGTCAGATAGCAAAGTTGCAGGCAAAAATGTTGATTAGGCTGCCAGTCTCAAGTCTAAAAATAAAGAGAGTTATGTAGCTCGCGAAAATTCAATTTGGTAGACGTCAGCCAAAAGCTACCCCCTCCAGGCCGGTTCGCTTCCCCAGCCTATCGCTCGGCAAACGCCCCCTTCCAATCATCCGTGCCGGACAGGCAGCCGCTTAAAAGCGGAGCAACTCCCACTCTCTGCCTTCTCGAAGCCTCGCAAGCTCCTGAAGCCTTGCAGAGAATCGTCTGGAGGAATCGTTTTCGTCTACTCACGCTACTCGGCGCGTCCCTGGCGTCCTCCGTCTGGCTGCTTGTGGTCTGCTCCTCCTCCGCGTCCCTGCACTGGTCTGCTCCTCCTCCGCGTCCCTGCACTGGTCTGCTCCTCTTCCACGTCCCTGCACTGCTGTGGTTCGCATATCCCCACTGCTTTCCTCCTCTGCGGGCTCTTTCTGCGGGCTGCTCCGCGGGGCCCTCCGCGGGTTTATGTGCGGCTCGTTCCTTGTGGTCTGCTGCCGCACGCAGAGGTCTGGCGGTGCCGCGTTGTCCCGTTGCTTTTCCCAAGTCTCCTGGCATGTGAGTACAGTGTGTGTGCCGACCGCGGACAGATTAATCCCGGAGTTCTGGGCTGCAGGCGGCTGGTTTTTGCCCTACGCACTTGACTGCAGGCGCCAGTTTTTTCGCCCCGAGCTTGGTCTGCAGGCTCCGTTTCACATGTGTTTGAGCTAACTGAGGGGCAATGCATATTAAATGGCATCAATCTCTATCGTCTGAGGGATATACGAGGAGCTATGTGCATTAATTCAGATCATGTTCTGCCACTTGCAGTAAAACCATGCATAAATAGCTAGGTCGCTGGTATTAAATTAGGTAACTAACTGCAGTGTTGCATTTTTGAAAGTGCAGCAGGAAGAAAAAGGGCCGAACGTGAATCTGCAATGGGTGGAAATAGTGTTGGAGCTATGAACGCATGGATCAGTGGTCGTTCATGCGCATCTGCCATAACCAAAGCAGAAGATGGCTCCAGGGGACGTCTGTTATTCGCATGGGAATGTTTCGGATTCGGGTTGATTTATTCCCTCAGGCTCTTAAACAACCGTGGGTTGGTTCTCTGACCGCCGCTGCTGCCGGTCCCCGCTGCCGTTCCTACTGATGCCTGATCCCGCCGCTGCTGTTCCTGCTGCCGCTCCTGCTGCTGCCTGTTCCTGCTGCCGCTCCTGCTGCTGTCTGTCCCTGCTGCTGCTCCTGCTGCTCCTACTACTACATGTGCCGCTGCCGTTCCGCAGGCTCCCAGGCTGCACCCGTCTCTGTGGCTCGGCTCTTTCAGACACGTACGTAACCTGGCTCACGGAGACAAGCGGCGCACGCCGGCGTGACACGTCTGTCTGTTCGTATGAATCGCTTCGTGGTGCTGCTGCTCCTGCTAATGCTGCTTCTGCTGCTTCATACTGTTACCGCTACTGCTGCTACTGCTGCCGCTGCTGCTTCATACTGCTACTACTGCCGTGCTGCTGCTGCTTCATGTACTTCGTCATCTCTCTTCACTTCGCTTCTCTTACTGAAACACTAAACAGCTACAACATATTCTACTGCCGTGGCTTTGATACAGGGTTTTGCCGTTATTATCTACGGATGCAGCAGCTGCTGCTGCCGCGGCTGATACAGGTCGTTGCCGTTATTATCTGAGGTTACTGCCGCTGCTGCTACTGCTACTGCTACTGCTGCAACCCACTCTCTCAGAAGCTTATCCTGCTTCTAATGGATGCAGCCCGGCCGAGTATGCCGCGCGGCACTGGACTCGCACCTATGCTCCCAGGGTCACTTCGGCGGTCGTGCTTCATCTCTCTACTTAATCTTCTGATTCTATCAGATGCAGCTGGCCGAGTAGCTGCGCTGAGCCGTCAATTGGACTCCTAATCAAAGGCATCCATACCGTGTTCTTCACTCTTCTGATCGCAGGCTCCCCATCATGCTGCCCATCCTGCAGCGGCACTGAACTCCGGCTCATCTTCCAAGTACATGTCTGCCCTCCTCGCAGCATCTTCCTGCTCGCCTTCCATGGCTTCTCTGCATAAGCGTTCACTACTGCACACTCAACCTTCGTGCGGTCCGAGACACGGCTTTTCCCGACCATCCTACTATCCTGATTATCTACTCTCCAACCCAAGATTCTAAGCGTAAGGGCGCCTGCAACTTCATGGCCCTCTCCGATATGTCTCTGCCCCTCCAGGTCTCGGCTTCTACACGGACGTGCCCCTTCCGTGGGTTTTGGGGGGTTTATTTCCAGGACCATCGCGGCCTCGCTGGGGCTCCCCCACACCTCTCTGCAACAGCTGGGGCGCCGGTCCTCTGCGGCTTTCTCCGCCTACATCAGGCCAGACGCGTCCGCTATCCTGCCTGCACAACGTCAACTGGCTTCCTCGTAAGCTCCCAGCAAAGCAATACGAAGCAAAGTAAGTGAACCAATAAGATTCTGGTGGCGGCACGCACTTCTCTCAAACACTCTCCGCTGCCGCAGCGTCTGACGGAACGTGATGCGAGCGCTCACGTTCCCAGCGCGCAAAGACAACCCTGCCGCAGCGTCTGGTTGATCGTGATGCGAGCGCTCACGTCCCAGCGCTCAAAGATAACCCTGCCGCAGCGTCCGGTTGATCGTGATGCGAGCGCTCACGTCCCGGCACTCAAAGATAACCGCATATAACGGTCACAGCACATAGTGATAGCGGTCATAGCGTTAGTGATAGCGGTCATAGCGTCAGTGATAGCGGTCATAGCGTCAGTGATAGCGGTCATAGCGTCAGTGATAGCGGTCATAGCGTCAGTGATAGCGGTCATAGCGTCAGTGGTAGCGGTCATAGCGTTAGTGTTAGCGGTCACAGCATAGCAAAAAATGGTTAGCGCATAAACGGTTCACAGCATAGAGATAGCGGTCACAGCATAGCGATAGCGGTCACAGCATAGCGATAGCGGTCACAGCATAGCGATAGCGGTCACAGCATAGCGATAGCGGTCACAGCATAGCGATAGCGGTCACAGCATAGCGATAGCGGTCACAGCATAGAGTAGCCACGACGTCTGTTCCCTGCAAACCAGGCTGCAAAACTCCATCAACACACTCAGCCTTTTTGGGGATTGTACGCGCTCCATCGCAGGAGCCTCTCCGATCTGAAGGCCGCACCGGGGCCTAGGGCGCCAAACCACCTCAATAAATACTCAAAACCATTTTCGTTTCTCGTCTCTCCAAATTGAAATGTAGCTCGCGAAAATTCAATTTGGTAGACGTCAGCCAAAAGCTACCCCCTCCAGGCCGGTTCGCTTCCCCAGCCTATCGCTCGGCAAACGCCCCCTTCCAATCATCCGTGCCGGACAGGCAGCCGCTTAAAAGCGGAGCAACTCCCACTCTCTGCCTTCTCGAAGCCTCGCACCCACCGCCTCCCCTCCTCCTCCTCTTCACCCTGCCTCCAACCTGCCTCCAATCTGCCTCCAATCTGCCTCCAATCTGCCTCCAATCTGCCTCCAATCTGCCTCCAATCTGCCTCCAATCTGCCTCCAATCTGCCAAAATGCCGCCACCAGTGCCTAGGTCCCGGGGGATTGTACGCGCTCCATCGCAGGAGCCTCTCCGATCTGAAGGCCGCACCGGGGCCTAGGGCGCCAAACCACCTCAATAAATACTCAAAACCATTTTCGTTTCTCGTCTCTCCAAATTGAATTACCAGATGTTCAATATACATGAGAGCATTGTACCAGGTTACAGGTTTCCACATGCAGAATTATGTCACAGTTATCATATTTTATGTGGTGGGTGTAATTAGGTCGCATTGTAGCTACCGATTCTAATTTCAAAACCACTATATTACCTCATCAACCCTTTCTTTTAGCCAGCAGCCTAGGACATTGGCATGCAAGCAGAGACTGACATATTGTTACACTGAATATAAACACGCAAATCACAAAGGTTCACAGCACAAGACACATAACATATTGGTCTCTGTTATAGTCTTAGTTATTGATTTACATTCATCAAAATGATTAGTTATTTATCCAGCTATAACTTCTTCTTCAAATGTCTTCCTCATTTGTTTTCTTTGCTTAATTTCATTTGGAAGAGGAACTGTTTCAGAAGTAAATAGAAAGTCCAACAGAAGAAAAATTAAATCACTTAGGTCACCGTTTCAGGCACCAGAAGCAGAACCACTCTCGACCCTGCACATACCGGTTTTCCTGCTATTGCTGGTGAAAACTGAAACAGAGTTTTTAAGAGGAATGGAAGCTGCACTTTGTCCTTCTGCTTAAGCCCAATGAGAAAACAGGAGGTTGTTCACAGTTCAAATACATCCCAGCTTTACCCCTCCTTCAACTCTGAGTGAATATTAGACCCTGGCTAATCTCGGAATTGGAGAGCTGTCGGAACGTCCATTTATGTATACGCCCAATATTTTATAGATTCACTCTTCATAGATTACTGGCTCAAAGGGTATGACTTTGTGTATGTTCAGATACCATTCCTGAACAATTTATCTCTAAACACTAGGATGCATAGGGTCTCTGCTTTGCATCCACAGGCAGTCTAGTTAGAGGAGAGACCCGGCTGGGCCCTGTCATGAAGCCACCTGTGCCATTCCCTTAGTGATAACACAAAGAATACATAACAGAAAATATTCTGGAGTTAGTCAGTCTAATCATGAAAATGTAATTCTTGTTCCGTGTATGAATCAGCCAACTGCAACCGCTTACACTGACACTTTAGAACTTGCTGTGCTTAATGTCAGATCTCTTTGTAACAAGTCTTTTTTAATCAATAATTTTATTTGTTCTCATAATCTTGATCTTATGTTCATGGCTGAAACATGGCTTGACCAAAATACAGAAAATGCAGTCATAATAGAAGCATCACCACCAAATTTCAAATTCGAATCGGAAATTCGGGAAAACAAAAAGGGAGGAGGCATAGCTGCAATTTTCAGTGACCACTTTGTCTCACGTAAAATGTCTCCTGAGAAGTTTCCGTCATTTGAATACAGTATGTGTCTTTTAAAATGCAACAAAAACAATCTCCTCCAATTCTTTTCATTGTCCTATACAAGCCATCGCAGTCATGTTACAGTTTTATTGATAATTTTACTGAGTTGCTTTCAGTTGTATGCACAGATTTTGATAGTTTGGTTATTACAGGTGATTTTAATATTCATGTGGATAATGTTAATGACAGAAATGCAAAAGAGCTGAGTTCTTTACTTGAATCCTTTGGCCACTCAGCACGTAAGTGGCCCCACCCACAGCAGAGGGCACACTCTAGACCTGTTAGTTACTAAGGGGGTGAACATTGCAAATGTAAACATAGTTGACATTGCTCATTTGGTTCATTTTTGTGTATTTTTTGACATGTGTTTCACTAAAAAACCATCAGAAGACGCTGCAGTTGTTCGAAGAAGACGCATAAATGAAAATACGGGTGAAATATTTATGGGAATGATAAACTTTGAGAATGCATCGTGTTCTACTGTAGATATACTTTTTAACTCTGTCACCTCTAGTGTTTTGAATGTTCTGGACACCATCGCTCCTGTGAAGGTTAAAATAGTGAAAAATAAGCAGAAGGCGCCATGGGCTGAAGCAGACTCGATCAGGGCACAAAAGAGAGAGTGCCGAAAGGCCGAGCCTCCGAACCTCCAGGCTGATTACGAGATCTTTAGATAGAAGATAAGTTTTGCGAGTTTAACCGGGTGCTACGTAGTACGAAAGAAAGATTTTTTTCTGAAATGATTGAAGGCTGCAGTAACAATCTGCGTGTTCTGTTTTCTACAGTTAATAGATTGACAAATCCCCCTGTTCAACTGCCAGTAGAACTTACTTCCAAACGTAAATACAATAAGTTTGCACATTTTTTCAATGACAAATAGGGTTGCCAACTTGAGAACAATAAAATAAGGGACACCATTTGGGTGGATCGGGTTGAGCACTTTTTAGTCCTAATTTCAGTCTACATAGTAATCATGGAATTTCATAATCACAGTTTTTAGAATGTAATTTATTGACTACATATAACAAAAACAAATCCTTAGCCAAAAATGAAATTGAATAAATAGGTGGAACTCTTTGGCTGGTTAAGGACTTAGTGCATTCTTATTAGTAATAAAAATATATAAAAAAGACAAATACTGTAACATACATTATTTATGAATGTTACAGTAAAAACCCATTTCTGTAAAGGCAAATTAAAAAAAGAAAAACAAATGTATTAATTAAAAAAACTCACAAATCAAAGTCTGTAGCAGTTCGATATGGTCATCATTATTTATATTGTCTGAGAGTTTTGTGCAGGTACTGCAGGTTTGTGGCTTCAGTAAAAGCTATTGTTCGTTTACAAAGCTGGTCTGGATATTTGTTGACGGTCCCTAAGTGCTTTTCTCGGCGCTTGCAGTGCATTGGATTCAGAGGATTTCTCTGCATTAAAACAGCGCATTGAATTTGTAAAATCAACGTAGAGATGATCATTTTAGCACAATTACTTTTGTTTAACAAAAGTAGCTTTCGTGAGCTATTGACCGCGGAAGTCCGAATCTGAGAAAATGACGCTACTTTACCAAACTTCTGCCATGATGGTGCTGCGGCACGGCCCACGCTGGCGATTGTCAACATTAAACCAACGTCTGTGATCAAGCCTACGCCCCTTTGACACTGATTGGCCGAAAGGTAGACACTTAAACTGTGATTACTGTGTGTGTGTCGCGCGTGTGACATGCAGTGAGTGAGTGATGCATTTAAGGTGGCTCTGAAAATACGGGACAAAAGCCGTCCCGTATCGTCCCGTAATACGGGACAATTCCGTATTTCAAGGGACGGTTGGCAACCCTAATGACAAAGTTCAATGCATCAAAAACGCCAATGTCTCTAATCCACAGATAACAATCCAACAGCCAGAAAGGCTCTCTGAGCTAACTCACTTTGCACCTGTAAATGATCAAACTGTTCAAGAGATAATCACAAGTCTGAGCTCCTCCACTTGCAGCCTAGATGTACTACCCACTAGATTTCTGAAGTCTGTTTTGAGCAGTCTGTTACCTTCACTCACACAGATAGTAAACATGTCCCTTCATTCTGGAATATTCCCAAAGGCCCTGAAAACTGCAGT